AACTTTATACTAGCTTTAGTACAAAGTTAGTATAAAGCCGAGTCGCTTATTTTGGGACGAAGGGAGTATTATTTTTACCTTTTAAATATTTTTAAATATTATTTTTGAAGCAAACTTATAATATATAGCGCACGGTCTGTTTTTTTGACCTTGCGCACAGTCTGTTTTTCTTTTGTACCGGTGGTGATCTAGATTGCAAAGAAAATATCGATAACCACACATGCACACCTTTGAAAAATCTTGTAGGGGAAAAACAAAAGATTTCTCATCGCGCGCGCGAGAGAGAGAGAGACGCCTTATGATTGGCCACATTCAAACACGTTCTGGTTTGTGTAAACATTGAGGCCACCGCCGCCGAGGGTGACAAGGAGAATAAGACACAACACAAATGTGATGCCCTGTTAAAATAAAAGGACGTTGACCTATTGTGGTTTTGAGTCATGGTTGTTGGGTTAAGAGTCTGTGTTATTTTCTCCCGTTGCAACACACGGGGCTCTTTTGCAAGCACTCCGTTCCTCTATATAAGGTGTATTTGTTTTTAAAAAAAATCCATGATGTAATGTGTATTTCGCTTCTCCTCTCATATTTCCGTGTGTGCCCTTCCACCATCCAATACATGCTTTTTATAGAAAGTGGTACGTACTCCTCAATAGGAAGGTAGTAAAAAAGACCTCTCTTCCTGACTGCATGCACTCACATTTTTCTTTCTCCAATCTCACCGACAAATTTTATTAGAGATTCAATTGCCTTTTATTAGACTAGCACATATGCCCGTGCATTGCAACGGGAGTGAAAATTAGCGTGTTCACCAGTGTGACATGATAGCGTCCAGAAGGTATCACACGGCAGGGAGACGCACATCAAGCTTTAAAAAGAAATACATATCAGTCTGGCATTAATCATGCAACAACCCTTAACACGGGTACTAAGGATCAATTGATTCTTCTTAAAATCCTACCATCTACACTTAGTTAGCTTTACACCTCCACACATCCAACTTGTAGCACACTGATTGACCTCGCTACGACACGTGTCCGACTTGTAGCAGTGGCGGTCATCCTTGTTGTGTCCATGTGGTCGGCTTTGCGACGTTGTCTATACGACTTGTTGTCTTGGCATCATTTATGTAACTGGTTTTGCAGCACAGTGGTCCAACTTCCCAATAGAAAAATAATAACGACGACTGGTGTTACAGTGGTGTGCTTCCAGATGTAGCAAGCAATTGGCCTTCCAACGTTGTGTTCTGCTTTGAGAAACATCAGCGGGCCTAAAACTATTGTGTGTGCCGTTTGCAGCAACAATGTTCGATCAAAAGTTGCATGTTGATTAACCAGTTTTTTTTTCAAAAAAGTAAAATTTAATAGCGGCAAAAACATCGAGAAATAAAAACATTCCCTTGTACATTGAAAAGGTTAATATGCCGTCCAAAAATCAAAGCCGACGGCAGGTCGTTTGCTTCCTTTTTCGTTTTTGAGTAGTTCACGAGCGAGACCCGATTGATCCCATGGAAAGAAGGCAGCAACATCTCTCGTGTTGCACACATTTCGGGGGTTGTTTTGTTAGTGCGCATTGAGATTCGACCATCACTCACCAGCTATATATACCACTCCAACCAGGTATTTTATATCTTTTGTTAGTTAGATTCAGCCATACCATACACTCCATGGGGCATGCAAGCACATCCCGAGCCTACAAATCTAGCAATACTTCCCACATTTCTGTTTAGAGCCAACATTTAATTCTTTCGTCAGGCTCTATTCCAACAATTTCATTTAATTAGAGCCAACCTTAATTCCTTCACTCCGCACCATACCCTTCCTTGGGCTTCATGATTACTCGACAACTATCCAACGTATATAAACTGGTGGATTTTTGAGGATCAAACCGACGTGGGATAAATATTCAAGCGAACCCTCTCTATCTAAAAAATGTTTGCGCTTTTTAAATTTAAAAAATGGTTGTGTTTCCGTATTTGTACATAAATTAAAAAATATTCTTGATTTTCAAAAAATGTTCGTCTTTTTCAAAGTTGTTCAGAATGGGTTGTTCTATTTTTTTTCACAACTTTTACAAAATGTTCAGAATTTCAGAAAATATTCCCGTTTTCAAAGATTGTTCACAAATCTTAAAAATGTTCATGTTTTCATTTTCAGGATTTTCAAATAATGTTACAGTTTCCAAAAATGTTTGAAAATGTGTTAAGAACGTGTTTTCAAATTTTGTTTCGGTTTTTCAAAAATTGTTTGGAATGTTTTTGTTCTAAATTTTCAGAAGTTTTCAGAATTATTATTGGAATTTCAAAAAAAAAGTTCCCCTATCCACAAATTGGTCAATTTTTTTTAAAATGTTCATGTTCCAATTTCTTTTTCGGAGTTTCAACTTTTTTTGTGTTACCAATTTTGGTTGCAAGTTTCCAAAAATGTTTGTGTTCCACATTTTGTTTTGGAATCAAAAAATGTTCCTGTTTGAAAAAATTGTTCAAGATTTTAAGAAAATGTTCATATCGAGATTTTAAGAAATTGTTCAAGATTTTAAGATTTTAAGAAAATGTTCATATTTTTAAAATATGTTTATAAATTTGTAAAGTGTTTGCGCTTCGCAAAAAATTCTCGTATTTTTTTCAAAAATAGTTGATATCGAGATTTAAAAAATATCCGTATCTGCGCTGGTGATTAGTTCTTAGGATTTTTCACTGCTTTATAACCAATAATGGTCGGTATGTCAACGGGTTGGAGCGTTATGTGTTGAATGAGACATCTTGGGTTCGATCCCCATGAGCTCATCGTTTTTTGAGCTACAGTATATATCATCACAGCCTATCATTATTTCCCAGCTTCCCATGCGGACGAAAAATAGGTAGGTCCCACCGTAAAAGAAAACAAATACCACAAGACAAACAATATTATGACCAAACCAAGAATATCTATTCCATTTAATAGTAGGTATAGGTATAGATTGTTGGTTATTTAGTTGTCTCTAATTAAGTTGCTAACTACATAATTAGTCGAGGGTATTTTTGTCCAAAACTCATCCCAATTCTATGCATATGTCACCGCGCGCAAAAAAATACATCTTGCATTGTAAAAGCATCCACATAATCAAAAGAAAAAGAATATGAATCAACCTGTAGTTGGATGGTTAGAAGGACAGTGGTATGCCCAACCCATTAAAGTTCAAATTCTGAATTTGACATTGATGCTCGCATTTTGCTAGATTTATTTCACGTCTTTCCTGCGACGTGCGCTTAGTGGGAGGAGATGCCGCCATCGACTCCCGAAAGAGTCTGTGATGATTTTGTTAATTTTCAAAAGATGTGCCGGCACAGTCTATTGAAGGTGCTCACCGAGATAGAGTGTGCGTGAGTCCGATCATAGGAGTGAATGTATATGCGTACGTTTAAGCGTCTGCGTCTTCACTGTGTTATTAACTAGCACATATGCCCATGCGTTGCAACGGGAGAGATGTTTATTACGAGAAGCAAGGGAGAAATGATATGTCCTCCGAAAACAGTCTCTGCAGCGGTGGCCAACAAAGGTAGGAGCTGCGATCTTCCCACGGGTCATGTTTGGTGTACGAGATCTTGATAGTGCTGGGTTGGTCGATGTCTCCTACCACGGTGTAATTGGATGTATTACTAATTACAACACATAAATCAAAGACCAGACGACGTGCTGCTAGCTAGTCGAAAAAACACATCCTAAAAACCAACGGCCAAATCGAATATTTAAGAACATAACGCAGCATCAGTTTTGAAACATTTTTTGATTTTTTTGAACTTATCATAAAAATAAGAATGATTTTGCATATATTCTTCGAAACATGAACAATTTGAATTCCAAACAGATTTTTGAAAATTCTGAATATTTCACAAAAACATCAAGAAAGTTTTAAATTGGATTTTTTAAATTCACGAACATTTTCTGAAAACACGAACTTTTATAATAACCTGACTATTTTTTCAATTAGTGATTTTTTTATTAAAATGGTAATTTTTTTGAACATTCAGAACAATTTTGAAAATGGTTTTTTCAACTAATAAAATTATTTTAATTTCGTAAATATTTCACTGAAACAACAACATTTTCAAATTTGAAACATTGTTTCAAATGCAAAAAGAATTATTGGAAATCATAAATAATTATGGATAAACAACATTTTAAAAAATTGGGAACATTTTTTTATTTTCAAAAAATTTCATAAATAAAATAAAATAAAGTGTTGAATATTTTTTTAAACGGAAACTTTTTTAGATTATGGAACATTTATCGAAAACTTGGAAAAAAATTCTTAGGTTTTTTAAAAATTTCGAATTTACTAAAAAACGAGAAAATGAAATTAAATTTGGAAGGGAAAAAAGTGAAAGGAAATAAGAAAGAAAGGGATAAATAAACATAAAAAAGAAAAACACAGGATAAAAAAAATGGGCCGGGCCGGTATATGGCGTCCTGTGGGAATTTTTAAGTATTTGACACTTCGTGCGGCAAATAGGGTTCTGCCAACTGTGTGGGCTGAAAAATAAGCGGGCTGGCTTCGCTGGGCCTCAGCGCCCGGCCCAGATACGAAATCCACAAACCGTTTTTCTTTTGTAGCAGATGAACGCACAGAAATTTAGTACCATCTCGGGTAAAAATAATCTATTCGTTGGGAAACAGATGAAAAAATTCGGAGAAACGCACCTTGCTTTATTAGTGTAGGTATAGGTATAGATAAGAAGGAAAAAAATTGTTAAAAAGAAGAAGGAAAAGAAACAGGAAAAGCAGAAAAAAGAGAGAAGGAAAGCAACTCGTATCCTATCCGTTCGACCGGCCCGAGTCGAGTCGGTTCGCAGCAACAGCAGTAGAGCCCACCTGCAGCCTCGGGTTTCACTAAAAAAAAGACCTGCAGGCAGCCTCGGGTCGGTTCGAGCAGCCGACACCTGCCACTCGCGCCGCCGCCGCCGCTAGGGCTTCCTCCCTCCACGCCGCCCGCGATCGCCGCCGCCGCCGCCGCCAGCGGGGGAGATGGCGGACCGGCTGACGCGGATCGCGATCGTCAACGAAGACCGCTGCAAGCCCAAGAAGTGCCGCCAGGAGTGCAAGAAGAGCTGCCCCGTCGTCAAGACCGGTAACGCCGAATTCCCCCTCTCCTCTCCTCCTCTTGCCCCCACTCGGCGGGCCGCCGGCCGGACGGGAGACGCGAGGTCGTTTGGTCGACTAGATCCCCAGGTTGATTCGGCTGCTTTTCGAGTCCGTGCGTGCGTGGTGTTTTGATCTGGCGCCTCTGGCCGAATTGCTCGCGAGATCTGGCTGCTGGGCACTCAAGGTGCCCCCTTGATTTCTCCAGCCAGCACCACTACCAGTGTCGCTCCTGCTACGGGCTCTTTTACTAATCTTGTTCTCGTGCATGCGAGCATGCGACCAATTTAAGTGCTCTCCCCGCCTCTTGAAAAGAATTGAGGCTGTGCTTTTGAGTTTTGACAAATTAGGTCCGGTCAGTGGTAAAGTCGAAAGCTTTGACTACATCTTCTAAAATATCTGGGTTAAACATGCTTGAAGAAGGCCATGTGTAAAAAATTGCCTATTTTCACAACGTCTAACTTGAATTGGTGGTGAAGGAAAGGTTGTGTTTCGGGGACCATGTTCATGCCCAGAGCAAATTTTATACGACCGGCTCCCCGGTTGATTGACAATTTGACTATACGTATTGTAGCCTGTGAAGGACATATTGCATCTGGCGCGCAGGTTTGTAGCGTATCACTTATTTTGTTTATGGGCAATAGCTCTACACTCGACTCGGTGTGGCGTTTGTAATATATCCTGATGCATGCTTATTCTGATTGTATACATTTTCGGCTTTGAGACCATGGCCTATTCTGATTGAACTGGATTACGACAATTTGCTGGTTAATTTGTTGCACAGGGAAGTTGTGCATTGAAGTTGGTCCGGCGTCCAAGGTTTCCTTCATCTCTGAAGAGCTGTGCATTGGTTGTGGTATTTGTGTCAAGGTATATGTCTATATGCATATGCTGACAGCTTCCAACACAGCTACTCCCTTCGTAAACTAATATAAGAGCTTTTAGATCACTAAAGTAGTAATCTAAATGCTCTTATATTAGTTTACAGAGGGAGTACTAAATTGCATGGTCTTTGTATGCGCTCTACTATTTGGTTTTCTCATTTCTCTGTAATTAATTCTTGCTGCAGAAATGCCCATTTGATGCCATCGAGATCATCAACCTCCCAAAAGATCTGGAAAAGGATACCACCCATCGCTATGGGCCAAATACATTCAAATTGCACAGGTAAGTTTTGTTTGATCAAGACTTCTCGATTTGTATCAAGTTGTGTGTTATTTGTCATTTGTGCAATTACTAATTTTGCACTTGCAGGCTGCCTGTACCAAGGCCTGGTCAAGTTTTGGGACTTGTTGGAACCAATGGAATTGGAAAGTCCACAGCGCTTAAAGTCTTAGCTGGCAAGCTGAAACCAAATTTGGGACGATTCAAAGTATATATCCCATACCTCCTGCACAAAAAGTTTCTTCCGTATTCAGTGAACTGGTCAAGATAGTGTTATTTAGCTCTGCACTTCTCCTTTTTTTTTTTTTGCAGAATCCACCTGATTGGCAGGAGATCCTTACATACTTCCGTGGCTCTGAACTTCAGAATTATTTTACACGTTTATTGGAGGATAACCTGAAGGTACTGTATTGCCACAGTTTTTTATTCACTGTGTTCGTAATTCAGGCAGGGTCTGTTACTATTTAGTTTCTAACAAGAAGCTTGTGATAACCTTTTCATTTGCCGTGTTAATTTTCTGTTCTGTTTTATCATATGTGAAAATAGGCATGCAGGCTAGTAGCAATATTCTCTCCCACTTATGCATTCAACGATATGCTTGTAGTAGATAGTCTAATGTACCTAGAGCAGGCATATAGTACCGCACTTATGGTAAACATTCAACTTCTTTTGTCCTTCAAATAGTAATATGCAATGATCATTTTAGTAAAACCATGGGTACGGCGATTCTTGTATTAATGCTTCTAATGTGGATGCCTTGAGATAACACGTTACTATGTGAAGTGTTGCAAACTTGCAAAATTAAGCATATACGTAATAGCATACTCTATATCTTATGGTTTAGTCTTCCTCATATTATTTAGTCATGCATTTGTTACCATGCCCTCTGTTACTGTCTGACATACAAATACCTGCTCTTTCATATTTCTAATAGACTGTTGTACTACTGTATGTTTTTTTTAACAGTAGAATACTTCTGATGATTCCTTGCACTCTCTCTGCAGGCAATCATTAAGCCTCAGTATGTTGACCACATTCCAAAAGCTGTCCATGGAAATGTCGGGCAGGTACTTGAGCTGAAAGATGAGAGGGATATGAAAGCTGAGCTGTGCGTTGACCTTGAATTGAACCAAGTTATTGACCGAAATGTGGGAGATCTTTCTGGCGGTGAGCTCCAGAGATTTGCAATAGCAGTTGTTGCTGTGCAAAGTGCAGAAATTTACATGTTTGATGAACCATCAAGTTATCTTGATGTTAAGCAGAGACTGAAGGCTGCACAAGTCATTAGGTCCTTGCTGAGATCGAACAGGTAATCTGTATTTGTTTTCATGGATATATTTTGAATCTTTTGACTAATAAAATCTTTGAAAATTTTACTGACAAGTACTCTGATTTTGTTTCCAGCTACGTCATTGTTGTGGAACATGACTTGAGCGTCTTAGATTACTTGTCCGACTTCATTTGCTGCTTATATGGAAAGCCAGGAGCTTATGGTGTAGTTACACTGCCATTTTCAGTCCGAGAAGGTATCAATATTTTCCTGGCTGGATTTGTTCCAACTGAAAATCTTCGGTTCCGAGATGAATCTCTTACATTTAAGGTAAGGCAAGATACGCAGATGGTATTTCAGATCCTTGTTCCATGATGAAAATATGTTCTGATGTTTATATTGCCCTCTTAGATTGTTGATACACAAGACAACGCGGAGGAGATTGAAACATACCAACGATACAAGTACCCTACCATGAGCAAAACCCTAGCAGACTTCAAGCTCACTGTCATGGAAGGTGAATTCACTGATTCTCAGATTGTTGTGATGCTTGGTGAGAACGGGACAGGGAAAACTACATTCATCAGAATGCTGGTACATCTCTCCACCCGTTACTTCTCCCCTATCTTCTCTCTATATATAGTGTACTTTGCGCTCTTGATCTTGCAAGGCACTGCTATATTTGTGTAAATAGCGTTATGACTAAAATGATACAAATGGAAGCTTTGTGCTCTAGACCTATAATGCTGTAAGTTCTTTGATAATGTGATAACTCCAGTCTTGCGTATTACGATCAACCATTTCATGGTCAGAATTTTCAGAAGCAATGGTATCTTGTTTTTCTTATCCACTTCTTAAATTTATAGCAACCATTCAATTCCTGAGAACTGTTCTCAAGTCAAAACTGTTACCAGATAGCTACTCTTCTATACAAGAAGTTTGTAATCTAATTTGCATTTAAATTGATGAAGCCCTTGGTTCTTATGTTCATTGTCTTTTATGATCGAACAGGCTGGGCACTTGAAGCCAGATACAGTGGATGGAGTTGAGATCGAAATTCCTGAATTTAATGTGTCCTACAAGCCCCAAAAGATTAGCCCAAAATTCCCGGGCTCAGTGAGGCAACTGCTTCATAAGAAAATACGCGATTCATATACTCATCCTCAGTTTATATCCGATGTAATGAAGCCACTACAAATTGAGCAGCTCATGGATCAGGAGGTGCTGAATTTATCAGGTGGAGAACTCCAAAGGGTGGCTCTATGTCTTTGCCTTGGACAGGTATCTCCTTGTATCTGAAGTTCTGAACTGTTGCTTAGTATTCTTGGTTTAGCAGGACACCATAGTTCATGTTTGACCACCTCATCTGTATTGACAACAGTATCTTGCATGAGATATAACCTCCACATGCAAATGAAGAGCATTTTGTTAACAGCAATTCAAGAGCATTTTTTAAAACCAAACCAAGAGCATTAGATAAAGCACAAAATGTGTTTGAAAAGATGTCATTCCTACTTCACATGGTCTGAGAGATACCAGCAGTGAGAAGGTAAAGAATTAGAGAAACATGGAAGGTGGACTTGGTGACATTGAAGTCATATTGTTGTATGAATTTGTGCCAAGATAAAAAAAATGGCTGTAACGGCTGTATTAATTGTTGACATGGATATAACTTCAGACCAGTTTATTGTAGATGCTATAAGAGATAATTTCATTTGCAACATGCCAAGTGATTCATGTTCAGTTGCTGGTTACTATTTCTTCAATGTTTGCTGAAAGAGATTTTGTACGACAGCATAATATGGATGAGACTCAGCTAGCACAACAGATGTGGGATACAAGAATATGAGTACCGTCATCAGCGTGTGTGGATAACTAACTAACTAACTAACTAACTAACTAACTAACTAACTTGTGTTTATGTACTTTTCAGCCTGCAGAAATCTACCTTATTGATGAGCCGAGTGCGTACCTCGATTCGGAGCAGCGCATTGTCGCCTCGAAGGTGATCAAGAGGTTCATCCTCCATGCCAAGAAGACGGCGTTCATCGTCGAGCACGACTTCATCATGGCAGCCTACCTTGCGGACAAGGTGGTGGTCTACGAAGGGCGCCCCTCCGTCGAGTGCACTGCCTGCACGCCGCAATCCCTGGTGTCTGGGATGAACAGGTTCCTATCGGTAAGTGCATAAGCAACATCCATCCATCTAGGGAAGCAGAAAGCTAGGGCAATCGACGAGCTTTCCTGGTCAGTTAAATTGATGGGCACAAAAGCAAAATACCCTTCAACAACTTGGTCTGAGTAACCTCCCCTTCTATCACAATTAGAGTGTCATCTTCACATTGTAGCACAGGGCAGGGTTGAGAATCTAGGACGGGGTGTCGAAGCCTGCAACACATCCAACCACCACAATGAAGAGCAGGGGGGAAGGTCTCCCTGCCTTAATCACCTTTTAAGGTCGATCCGGTCTTCTGGTATTCCTTTGAATAGAATTGATGACTTGGCCGTGGTTAAGAGTGCTTCCATCCATCCAATCCGGTGATCATTAAACCCTCTGGTCCTTGGAACAGAGAACAGTGCGTCCCAGGAGGCAGTGTCAAAAGCCTTTCTTTTTTTCCTTTTTCTGCAGGTTTGGACCAAATCCATTGCATATAAGAAATTATCTGCAATGCGTCGCGCCTTGTCAAATCCTGGCTGGTCGTTGTTAACGAGCAAAGTAATCTATTAATTCTAAAACTTTAGTAATCCATTTAACTCAACAATTGAGCAACGAGATCGGTCAGACGGTACCAGGAGAGTTGCCATTGTCTCTCTTCCTAAGCAATATCATTAAAGATCTACTATTTCTCTCCAGTTGCAGCTTCCCAGAATGGAACTGATTGGAGAAAGCAATTATGTCATCTTTAATGGCTTGCAAAGTCTTTGTAGAAAGCTGAGCCGAAACCATCCGGTCCTGGACTTTTATCCCTCGGCACATCTCTTATAGCTCTGATAATCTTGTCTGAAAACGCAGTAGTCATAGAAGACAAGCCAATCTGATCTGAATATAGCTGAACCATGTCAATGCCAAAGTAAGTGTTGGATCGGGTTTCCATCAGTTCTTTGTAGAATTTAGTCAGGACATCTTGTTTTGCCGAATGGAAAAAGCGGGGGCACCCCATCGACAGTACAGATTTAAAACATGTATCTTCCTGCTCTGCTTTGCTGCCATGGCAACCGAATGGAGAAGTGACTGAATTTTGAGCTTCATAGTTATGAAATGAAATTCAAGCTGACACCTGTGTTTGTTACACTGACACAAATAACGCTAAATCCGGAGTTCTCTTACCCGTGCTTTACCCCAGTCCTTCGGTTTGGAACCAAGCATGTACGTGTCGCGTGGAGGTGCCCTTCTTGGCTCATCTTCATGTCTGTCAATATGCTAATAAGAAAATCGATTATGAGGAAAGTTTCAGTTACATATATGCAAGATTGTATAAAATATGTTGCATAATACCCAGAAACCTGTTCAGCTAGTTAACTAACACTAACCAGCGAACTGTGAGCAAATGAAGCACGGGTGCGCAGTGTGGTAATTGCTTTAATGTTTCATGTCAAGTTGGCAAAGCCCATTGAATAGGGGTGCACACCTGACAATGGGTACTGCTGAAAATTACCAATGTGGTAACTACTTCAATGGGCTTTGCTTTAATGTCTTTCTTGTCAAGTTGCACTTTGGTAAAATTTCCAGCTATTAGCTTAAATGTTTTTACTATGTAAACTAAATAACTAATTTCAAGGTTGAGTCTTGTTTGCAGTTCAGTGTGATTGCGATAATGGCAAATTGAATTGGAAGAAACAGCATTAATACTTAGTTGGATATGCCCATAAACTGAATGGGCAGAGTCATAATTCAGTATGATGCATTTATGGACTGCGGCATGCGACATCTCCTAGCCGCTATCTCTTGTGCTTGATTGCCAATTTTTTGTGCAAAATATGAAAGAAATGTGTATCTATCTACTATTTTGTGTAGTTGGAATCGAAACCCTCTAAGATGTATAAGCAGTTATATCCCTCTCCCAGCATCATTTGATTTGAGCAGCACGTAGAGTTTTGCATCTGTAGTTTTCAGCGCTAATTTCTGTTGTTTTGTTCCTTCTGGTTTGGCAGCACCTTGACATCACGTTTCGGAGGGACCCGACCAACTACAGGCCTCGGATCAACAAGATGGACTCAACCAAGGACCGGGAGCAGAAGGCTGCGGGGTCCTACTACTACCTCGATGACTGACTGATTGGCGCACCGCCCCTCCCGAGAGAATTCAGTTTGACTGATCTTGTTTTTAGGTGAATTGAATTATGCTCGGATAGACAGACAGACAGACCTGGGTTTGTCCCCGTTTTTGTCCTGGGTTTTATACTGATGTTGGAGAGATTTGGCAGATGAGACAGCAAACTGCACCTGCTCTGTCCCAGGTCAAAAGCAACTCTGTTATCTTGGTTACTTAATTAGCAGCTACTAATTGAATTAGCATACATGCAAAGCCAGACCTGATCTGAATCTGATGGTTATGTTTCTGCTCTTTCTCGTGTCGCTGGGTTTTTCTAATTATGTTCAGGCTGCCATATGAAAAATCTATGCACTTGCATTTTTCTTTTGAAAAAGCTACCGGTTTAAACTGCAGAAATTATGTACGGAAAGGTCGCACACGACTATCAGCGCATACTCATGCACAGCAATGCAATTTATTTTAACATGAACCGCATGAGTCTTAAGTGCCAACGGAGCTTCGAGCTGTTGGGAGCTTGTTTTGAAAATTCAAATTTTCACTGCGTAAAAAGTTCTGATTTCTTTTGTGAACACATACACATGTATACCATGTATGTGTAAAATTTCACAATGTTATACTTTCACACATGGTGTACAGAAAAAAGAGAAATATGTATTTTCAAAATGGGCCCTTCATTTTTGTTGTTTGGCCGGAACTTTTTTGTACAGCCCATGCATCACAATATTTTTAAACAAAATTTCACACGCTCATGCGGAACACATAAGTTTCCATGGAACTTTTTTGGATTGTTTTGAACCTTACGAAAATGCCTTTTGATTTTTTTAGTTGGGAGACAAGCAAAAATGAAGGGAATGAGACAACCTCTACAAGTGCTCATAGGTAAGATGAGCAAAGAGAGAAGAGAGTGAGAAAAAAAAACACTAATCTAAGAGCCAACCCTGTTTATTTATTTGTGCGAGAAAGCCAACCCTATTTCTCCTCTCCTCATTTCCACTGGCCAGCCAGAATCTCCACCACTGACGCATGCCTTGAACACCTTAACAATTTTTCTGCAACATCATCTGTGTTGCAGAAGTCCTTCTGCAACAACATCCATGTTGCAAAAAGTCGAGACAAAAAAAAAATTCTGCAACAACATTCATGTTGCAAAAAAGTTAAGACGAAATAATAATAATACTACAACAGAACCTCTACTGCAAATGTTTCTCCAATATGAGGTCTCTTGCAAAGGGTTCTGCAACACCACATTTGTTGCAATGGTGAGAAAAGGGCTGGCCAGCTGCATGGCTCTAGATCAAAAGGCTATCGAGGTAGTGAATCTTTTAGAAAGATTTATCTGGTGCCCGGAAAACATTGGTAACAATGAAAAAAATCATAAACTTTGTTTAGAATATGAAGGGTGACACGTTGATGTTGGATCCAACTGGCTTCCATCAGCGGCATCATACTAATGTCCTACGGACCCCCCAAGATTAAAAAATTCCCGAAGAAATTTTTATTAGGTGGTAAGATTAAAGTTGAACGGTGGTAGGCGTCTGTTTGTGTGAGCCAGAGTTATTTCTCTAGCTACATCTACATTATGGTTTTGAGAATCAAACTGAGACATGAAGGAGTAATAGACGTGGGGTTCACGTGTTTGAGAAGCAGATAGGGTGACAACTCACCCAAATCGTGTCTGCCTGATCAAACGGCTGCGTGTGGCGCGAGCGAGTTATCAGTCGAATGATACCAAAAGTTTTCCCAACAATAATGTTAAATCAAGCAAAGCAAACTAAAGAAAATTGTAGGTCTATTGATCGGCATGCATCTACATGTCTGACAACATGGTAGGTACATGAGCACAAGCTGCACAACCCTTGATGCAAACCAAGTATGAGTTTAACATGAATATACGAACACGGAATACCGGCCATCTTTGAGTACAAAAACTGATTGTCTTATCTGTCCTATCATCTCGCAGGCTGGAACAGTTCATCTTCGGCAAAACCGCCAAGACACAGGGCGCCTGCTTCTACGCCCACAAATCCATCATCGTCTGAAATCCACTCACTCCATCTCATAATGTAAGACGTTTTTTGACACTAAAAACGTCCTATATTATGGGACGGAGGGAGTAAATTCTAAGAGTCTCTCTCCCGGTCTTGGTCATGAGGTCGCCTCCAGAAGCTAAAGGTATTGTCTGATTGCCTAGTTGATTGATATTCCCTTTAAACCATATAAATGCAAGTATGTTTAATCATGGTTATATTTTTTAAATTTAGAACCTATTATAATTACGAGCTCCCGAGATGGCTCTGATCATTCCGAAGTGTTTATCATGGTAAATGGCTTATTGTCAATAATATAGTCAACTTTTTCTTCTTACTTGAATTGTCAACTCAACTAGTTAGTTGACCAACTTAAGATGCATGTGTTATAATTATATAGTATAAGCATCCATATGAAAAAATCGATTTAATCACATTTGCCCTCACCAACATCATTCTGCCATCGCCCTCCTTCTTCACCATGAAATCAAACTGGTGACTTGATGGAAGTAACTGAAATTGGACATAAGATTCCACCAACAACAATGTATAATAAAGCAAAATAAATTAAAGGCAATGGTAGATGTACCGTTCATCATGCCTCTGCATGTAGAAGACGCATTAGGTAGGGAGTGGACCCCTTGCTGTATTACATTTTCACGATTTTTGCCTAGTTATTCTACTATGACAAAAAACGAGCTAGTGGCATGACCCACGGGAGCCTGTTTCATGAATAAAACTTGCAACAAACAAGATCAAAAGTAGATAACCAATCTAAAATTGATGCCAACAAATTTCTTACTAATAGTTTGACAACAACATATTTTATTAATTAATGATATGACAAGATTACACTGTAGAATCTGATGGCAAGTACAATGGATGTCATTT